TTTTAGGGGTTTTAAACATATACATATACATATACATAAACATGTCTATATACATACACATATACATATACATATATATATACATATACATAAACATGTACATATACGTATACATATATATATTTTATATTTTATATACACACATATATATATATATATATATAATAAGTAATATATATATATATATATATATATATATTACAGAATATACACATACACATACGCATACACATACACATACATATACATGCACATGCACATACACATGCATATGCATATACATATATACACATACATGCACACATATATATAATGCCCGAGTACGATCGAATTGAGCCGCATACTAACAGCGAAATTGTTCGCAATAAACCAAGTGTACATACCCTTCGGCAATCGTCCGATAACAAGTTTTGGTACTGCTGCTGTGTGGTAATGAGGTACACATTCTTGCGGCAGTCATTGCCGGAACTCTTAGGATGTCCCATAGTGAACCCCAGTACTGCACCCATCGCCACAATCAGTATAATCAACACGACGATAAACACGAGCAAAGTCACCAGACGCCGGTGGTGCGTCCTGTACAGGGTATATATGCAACGGAGATTAACAAAGGTCTCGTGCATATCGCGGGTCTGGTATTCTAGAACATAGAGGGAGTGTATGCAACGGAGATAAATAATGATCCCATGCCTAGCTCGAGTCTTTTAATCTGTAACACCAATCTTCACCATATGTATGAGTGGTAGTCTGGTAGAGAGCGTGAATGCAGCAACCATTAAAAAAGGACACGTGCCTATCGTAAACTATGTACGCACATATTTATGAGTCCGAATATGGTACATACATACATACATACATACATACACACCTACATACATACATACATATAATATACATATATATATATATATATATATATACATACACATATATATATTATATATATATGTGTGTGTGTGTGTGGTGGTGGTAGTATATATATATATATATATATATATATATATATATATTGATGTGTGCGAATAGAAACGTATTTACAAACATGTATATCACGTCGCATATACAAACAGACACCTAAGAGCACACACACGCGAAACCGACTTCTCCACTTATCGCCCATGTCGAGGGCTGAGATCTCTTAGCATATCTGTATGAGACACTCGGCCCATTGAAACACAGGGATCTTCATGGGTATGTCAGCGTGTTCCACACACAAGGATCTTCATGGTAATATCAGCTGTAATACACGGTGTTTATACGCGTAACTTTTACAGCGCTTGGAGGGTTCTGTAACTCAAGAAAATTGCCCTGCAATCCCAAACTCTTGCTTATATACAACAAACAAGTTCACCGCGTCACATTAAAAAAGGGGATTCGTTTCAATACATATAAAGCGCAAACACATGTTTCTTAATAAAGCGCAATCACATTTTTCCTAACCCTTTCGCTAAAATCGAACTCTTACCGGCTATAGCGCTTGAAGCGGTTTTGTAGCTCGAGCAGGTTGCCGCGCAATCCGAAACTCTCGTCGTTTTCCTTCTCATCCAAGACGTGAGGGTTCTCTGGAAGACACAATTAAGATGTAAATTTATAATGGCATGTGAGTAATGGACCGGACAGCTGATTGACAACACTCCAATTCAAGGTCTAGAACGCAAGATATAAAACCTGGTCTAGCTTTAAACCGACCCACAGACTTCTCCCCGGGGCCATATCAGGTCACAAGAGCGACACACACTTAAGTACTGATCAGCCTCAAACCCTGCTCGGATTTTGATAGCACAATACATGGACCATAATGGTTCTAATTTGGCCGCTATAATTGCAACACAGGGTGGCTGTCTGCTCCACATTCGCTCTATCTCGACGCACAGAGTACTATAGTGCTATTTGTGTCGAAGTAGCGACACATAATTACTATCGACAAGATCCAAATGCGGTCGTATTTCCACCAACATACGGAGCGACGAAAGAGCTGGCAACAAGCAATGCGCAGTCAATGTGAATGAGATCACGACATAATGCTTACAATGGAACATGCGCGAACAATGTAAAATCACCGTCCATCAACCATATCCAGCAACCTCTCAATCCCCTACCCCAAAACAACACATACTGTTTAGCCGATCACCCCACCACACTTACTATCAATGAGATCCAAAAACCGATCCATCTCCGTACTATCGCGCTTCTTGAACTGATCCAGCAATTGCAGGCGCCACATTATCGGATCGAGTGACTTGGGCTTGGGATCCGAGCCTCGCTTGCTCTCGGTGTCACCTTCTATGGCACTGTCAGATGAGTGCTGGTCTACGCATACGGCGGGTGTACGATTGGCCGCCACTCGTATCTGTGGTAGTAGTGGTAGTAGAGAGAAGAGGTATGGTTTTGATACATATATGTGCTGGTCGTGGTACTACTAGTAGTAACGAGCAGGCGTATGGCTTTAATACAAATATGTACTGGTAGTAGTAGAGAGATGAGGTATGAATTTAATAAAACCCCGTTCTTTCAGGCGATTGCCTAGGTGGTGTAGCGATGGCAAAGGTGAAAATAGCACAGGTGTGCACTTGAGGCCTTCTAGTTTCCAGTGCTGCACTCTGTAGCAATATCTAATGAATTCTGGTTAAACGCGTCTGCGTGGTGTGTATGTTGTGTGCAATGAAAAGAAAGGAAGCAAGCGAGAAGAGAGAGTGAGAAAGAGAGTGAGTGTGTGTGTGTGTGAGAGGGTACGGTTGCCCGGAATTCATAGTCTGATGTGGTGGTGGCCTGGAGAGGTAATACTTCTACTTCAAAGGTAAAGCACAGCTGGCAATGCAATTAGAGTGACGATGGTCCGTGTGCAGTTGTATCGGGCGCGTCTGGGCCTCTCTTACACCCAGCATCGCCATCTATGGCTCAGCCTAACGAATACTGGTCTATACGTGGGGTGGGTGTACTATTGCTAGATAGACATTCTCCTTTTCTGCAATACTACACAGTGACGCATTCAGTGAGAAGATATATATCCAGTGGAGTTTCTAATTGGTATGAAGGCGAAATGAGTGTGCGCCTGGGCCTCACTTGCTCACATCATCGCTAGCTATTGCAATGGAGTCCAAACGTTGGAATGCGCATGGAGTCGAGTAAAAAAATGCAATGATAAGCTGACATTTACAGCCTTTGTGCAACATTCGAGAGAGAAACATGTGGGAGACCGAACGTCGGTCGAGTATGTGGATGTTACAGAGATCATGCATAAGAGTCTGTGTTGCTCACGACATCCACTTCCTAAGCCATTGTCCCAATAACTTTGATCTGTGCGAAGCGTACACATACGCACTTACTGCATACATATTTAACCACACATATATGGACCTAAAAACAAATCGGAATAACACTCATATCGACCCATGAATGACATACACACCATTGCGCCACCCGACCCACTTCCATCAGCAATCAATGCAACCTACCTTTGTGCATGGTACCTTCTTCTCTGGCCCATGCCGAGCCACCGACGACTGAACCCCCACTGAGTCTCTACCACTGACACTGTCCATAGAACCTGTCCCGTTTGCGAGTTTCAACGTGTTATCGGCCTCTGTTATATCTGTTCCCCATAACCCATCCCCGCCCCTCGCGGTATCCCCATTCTCGGACAAGTTACGCCCCAGAGTCGTAGGTCCCTGGGTGTGAGCCTCGCCTATCCGAGAGATGTAGTCTATATCCGTGCTACTACCACTGGGTGTGCTTTTCAGGGCAGCATACTTGGTACTCTGTGCTGCCAGGGGTTTAGCCACGCGGGTCCGGTTGATGTGGTCACCACTATTCGGATAGTCGTTGGTATTGAATTTGGTAATTTCGGTCTCCTTATTACTTTTTATACTGCCCCTAAAGCTGCCGTTAATACTACGACTATGATGATGACTATAATTATTATTTTTGGTTTTGTTGCTGTTATCCAGATATGACAGACTACTCTTTCTCGTTAGCTTTTCGATGTTATGTTGGCTCAAGGAAAGACGATTGCTCTTGGCATTCAAGTTGACACTCTGCGCACGCGAATGTGAGCGTGCATTTCTCCTCATAGTATCCACATCTGAGCTACGTGACGTTATACTGCCCCTCTTTTCCCGTTCTTTCTCGCCTACTACCAACCGTTGTATCTGCGACATGACCCTGGTGCCCCACCCAGGCTTCGGTTCGTCATATCTCATATCAATTACCTCCGTATTGTTCCGGATGTCGGACGGCACCTCTTCAGTACCGCCACTCGGGGTGACTCCGCCTTCTCTCCCTTCGATCGCCGTATGGCCTGTGGGTCCGCCCCGCGTGTTATCGCTATCATTCTCTTTCCATTTGCCCTTTCTACCATTCAGCAGATCAGAGTCGATTTTGGCGTCGTGTATATCCACTGATGTGCTGCCAATATCTTCTGACTCACTGATGTCTAAAGCTCTTTTACCGTAGCACTCAGGATACCGATGAGTCTGCGGGCTGCTGAAGGTATGTACACTGGGGAACAAGAGGTTCCATAATCAATATGAGAGAATGCAAGAGGGGACAGTTGACAGGAACTTGAATTAAGAGGAAATCAAAATAATATTTAGTGCATCGAAATCAAGATTCAGTCCACAAAGTACAAACAAAATACACTCCACCGTATGCAAATAAAAGGTTTAGTCACAACTAAACTACGTAGATATCTATAT